AGTCGGATGCTGAAGACTGATGACCACATTATCACGCTGACTAATATTATCCAGCTGCCTTTTTGCATTACATTCTTTCTATATGGTGATGCACACTGTCTCATTGCATACTTCAGTTGTATTTAAGGAAGAAGTGCATGGTCTCTGATTTATCCTTCTGTATTTGTGACATACCTAATGCAATGGTGGCTTAATGCAATTTGATATCCTTCCATAAGCTAGTCAAAATTTTAGAGGCTAGGTCATATTAATCTTTTACTGCTCAACTGTTCTCAAGCCTAGAATCAAATTTGCTGGTAGACCTCAACAGAAATCTTGGGGCAAAGACCCCTTCTTCCCTTTTAAGTTTTACTATTAAATTTCCTTTCAGCAGCTCCAACCTACTTCTAGCTTTAAATCAAATATGAAATAAGATTCACAAGATTAAAATGTGCAAGACAAGTGCTCTAAAGAATCTACAATTTTTACACAGCTTTTCTTCAAATACTTAATACAGTAAAACTTCCGCTAAGAAAAGCAGCATGACTAAAGGTTAAGCCAAAGATTTGGGAGTTTTTGAAACTCAGGATATAAAAGTTGGTACACAAGGGACCAGATACGGGCTTACAGAGCAAATTCACTCTTGCCCTTCCCCCAGAAGCCAAGAAGAAAGCTGTGTTATCATCACCGAGTGAAGGCAGATGTGACAGCAACTGCAGCAGAGCAGGCTGTCCTTCCTCTTCAACACTCCCATCCTCTCCCACAAATACTTTTTCCTATCCCCTCCAATTCCTCAGTAGCAACCCATGCCTCTGCATTTGTCTGGAATGAAGCATAATAGGAATATTTGCTGACTAGGAAGACACAGCTGGTCACCACTTGGATCATCCTGGGTAGGTGAATTCTGCACAGTAATATTATTTCAGTATTAAAAACTGTTCCCCTTCACCCTCATCTCTCTTGAAAGAGAAGATAATTATGAGCATTGTACAGATTTTGTAGACAGTTTAAGTTATACTTTAATGTTACAGTTTTTCCACCAATACATTCTCATTCAGATCCAAATTGTGGATCTGAAATTTATAATTACTACTTCAGTGCACATGTAGCAAAATGAAAGCTCATGACAGATCAACAGTTGTTTGGGTATAGAGCACATGCTGAATCTTCTCTCAGTAGTTATTTAAGGGAGTTTTCTACTGATAATGTTGCACGTCCCGGATGCCCTTTACCAGTGCAGGAGCACCAGCTGACAGGATCTTAATCAGCAGATCTAAATCTCCCAAAGCGATGAAATCATCAGAAACCAATTGCAGATTTCCCCAAACCGGCTAAGACTTGCAGAAAGCATAGCTGGCAGATGTAAAGCTATCACAATGGTTATCCTTCTCTGATAGTTAGAGACCATGATCACTTTTCCTATATAGGTGTTTAGTGTACTGAGGAAAAGCTAAAAACACCCTACCCAAAGAGTTGCAGAGGCAACTTTATAAGAAATGTAATCCTTTAGTTTATGACCCTGTGAGAGGTCTCCTTATCTGTACTAGTAAAACACTTCTGTCAGGACTGTCATACCCTTTGGTCTGGTCACCACAGATCAAAGGTGAAGTCAATTGTTAAAGGGGAAAAAACCCCAACAAACCTAACAACCCAACAACAGAACAAGACTCAATGCAAGCATGCACTGAAGTGTCTTAGCTTATGCAGAAGACTGGGGTCAGTTCCACACTTTTACATCTATGTTTTTGCAATACTTGAACTAGCTAATTCAGAAATACCCCAAGTACCTTTTGGTAGAAGTAAGGATTCCTTCATACACACAATATTGGATTAAAAAAAAAAAAAAAAAAAAAGCGGTTCCTTTGTGGGTTTTTTTCTTCCCAGAACTCTCCATTACTTAAGTCTGTGACAATCCACACAACACATAAAAATTTTTCCAACTTGTCAGATTTTTCATTTAAACTAGCTACTTCTCAGTAATTACATCTACCAAAATGTTGCAGTCTGACAATTACTGAAAAGAATGACTATGGCTTGAAAACCATGAGAGATGTCATTATCTAGTAAGTTTAGTTAAGGGAGATACCTTCCTCCAATCTCCAAAAGAAATACTGAAAGACATTTTAAAACTCCATATTCTCTGTTACTTCTTATGCTATCTACTACCTAATTACTAAAATTCTGAAAGATAAGTGGTAGATTACTATACATCCTTCTTTAGTAAGCATGAGTTACTGTAGAATTGAGTCTTATTTTACACAGCAAAACCAAAAGTTCTCATGTGCTAGCAGCACAGTGCAAATATTCGCTTACCAATCTACTACATTTAATTTCTTAGAAGGCAGATTTGAAAAAACAGGCAATGAGTAATTGTTGCAAGTGAGAAAGCAGAATAACCTAGTGTATGCTGCTTTAACAAGTCAGCAAAGCACTTGAAAGAATATTGCCATGAGCACTGTTAAAGGGTTAGATCCTCACCCCACTCCATTAAGAGATTAAAAAGAAGGAATTAATCCCACAGGGATAATTTTCTCAACAGACGTATCATTTAATAAAGGGAAATGGAGATAGAGTGCTTGAGACATGGGTTTCTAGCAGATAGGTTCTAAGTGCCATCATGGGAAACAGATAGAAGCAACTCTCCAACTGTTGATAAAGGTCATTAGATCAACTTAGGAACGGTGAAAATAAGGGCATAATATTTATACAGCATATAATATTTAAGATCTTACTGCTCTGTAATTTGATAAATTTCATGTTCTAACTATCTGAAGGGCCTAAGAAATACAGTGACTTCAAGAAATTGGAAGATTGAGGAATCATATATACTAAATATCTCAGCTTTCAAATGAAGCATCACCTCAAACAATAGTAAAAAGCTGATAAAAATTCCAAAATTAACATTCACTTATCATTAGTTGTTTATGAATGCAACTAGAACACTTACAGTACCAGACAAAAGCATTTTCATTAGCCCAAGGCATTATAACTGCTTCAAAATAACACCAGTGTTATACACCTACTGGCTTGTCTCACAGAACTTAGCAAAGAATCATTAGCCCATTTTGTAACAATAAAAAGCAAAGATGCTCCTCCACATTTTCTAGTAAATGAAGAGCTATAAAAGACATAGCCAGTAGCCAGTATTAGCTTCAATGCATCATAGTCAGCCACTGTTGCTCAACTTATTTATTTGCATAGTATTGGCTAGTATACATAGCCCAATTCCCAATAACAAAGGAAATGAAAAAATAGTTCAAGGTCAAATTATTGTTTAGAAATAGCAGAGTCAAGCATAAAAATGAAGTTCCCACTTTCCAAAGCTATTTTTGCTTTCCCCTCTACCCCCAGCTAGCAACACTATATTAATAGGAAGTATATGCTAATTCTTCAGAACAGGCTTTTTCAGCAGAAGTATTTCAACAGCAAGTTTCACCTAGCTCTAATTATACACTGTAAGCTGCCTAGAAGCATGTAGGAATTTTAATTTTGTGGAATATACTAATCTTAAAACCCTTCTGAGCTATATTCAAAAGTTTTATAGAAGGAAAAAAATCTAGCCCGTATTTTCAGCTTCCTCTGGTGAAGTTACGTGGACTGGAGATGCAGGATAATCTAACCTCAGCAGCCGCACTTTTGTCTTAAGGTCTGCTAAAATGATCCCATTTATAAACAGCCAGAACTGAAGGGACCAATGAGAAACCAGGAACTTCTTAAGGCAGCATGGAACTACAAGGCGAACCAAAAGAGAAGACAGCAAGATGCATTTTCTTACACAACTTCAGCAGAGTTGCTCCCTCCCTGCATGTAGCCCAAAACTAGGCAAAGTCCAAAACAACGGTTCCTTAATTAAAAGTACTGACAACAGAGAAACAGAGACTCATTTAGGTTGGAAGAGACCTCCCACACTTCAGTTTAAAAACACAAACGTTTAAAAAAAAAAAAAAAAAAGGTATTTATGTAATCCAGGCACCCATGAAGAAGCTACAGTTCAATGCATACAAATAAATTTTCAAAAAATTGCAAAGCATCCCATCAGAACGGTACAGAAAGCAGTTGTACAGCTTAATTGCCCTTCAGTATTATCTAGTCTCTACTGCTATAATAGCTAAGTAGATACTCTATGACCTTATCGAGATGTGAAGCCTTTGAAAGACCGTCATCCATATTCAGCATGACAGTTCATCCCCACCAGGTCACAGGACCTAAACAGGGCCCAGATTAAAGCACTACTAGCTCCAATTTTTCACTAAAGCTTGTGCTTGCGCAGCCAAGAAAAAAACGCCCCCAACTGTAAAAACTGTACAGTAACAACGGCCACTTTCAACTAAGAAATAAACAGTCGTAGACACTGCAGGAAGAGATAAGTGAAGCCCCCTGAAAGGTGAAAGGAAAAAGCCCGTCCCGTTTCGCGGGGCGGTGGAACAGCCCAACAAAAACAAGCCCGTTCAAAACAAGCGTCGGGCCGCGCCCGAAGGGACCCGACGGGCAGAGAGCGGCGAGGAGCGCGGGCGGCGGAGGGAGCAAGCCGCCTCACCGCCCCGAGCGCCGGCTCTGCCCCGCGGCTCAACGGCTCTGCCTCTCCGCGGGGCTCGGGAACAAGCCCCACGAGGCACCCCTCGCCTCTCCAGCTACCGTAAAGCCCGCACCGCTAGACACCAAGGTTTCTCCCCCGCAAACGGAGCTCGTATTATTTCCCCAGCTGCCCCGCGTCACACGGCGGGCACTCTGACAGCGCCAGGCGGCACCGCGGCACGCCATTACGAGGAGCCCCTCCACAGGGCACCGCCGCGCTAAGGCGGGAAAAAGGCCCGGCTCCCCCCTCCGCTCAGGGCTTAGGACAGCACCGCTGCTACCCCCACCGCCCGGTCCGCAGCCAGCCCGGGCGCCAGTCGGGAAGGAACAGAGCCAGCAGCGCGCCGAACGCCTCTCCAGGCGCAGTCTGACGCGGGCAGGCGGCCAAGCCGCAGCGCTACCGGCTGCCCTCGGGCCCCCTTCCATTACCGCCCTCACGCACTCACCCGACTGACGCCGCCTCAGCCGCCCCCCGGGCCAACCTTGCTCCCGGCAGCCTCCGCGCCTCAGGCGCAGCTCCCGCTCGGGCACCCCGGGCTCGAAACCAAATCACGCGAGATCTGCCCGCAGCGCCTCGAGCGCAGCACTGCGCTCCCCCCGCGCCCTCCCCCC